TCGACAAAATTTGTCATTCAATGCAGCCTTTTGAACATAGAAAATTTTTATGGGAATTTAAATTTTAAGTGATATGCATATTGATTAAATCGTGAATATTGATTGATCTGGAACATTGAAAATCTCAATTTTTTTCGAATGAAAACCATATTTTTTTCCATCATAATTCAATTCTATAATAAAAATGAGCCCTAGTTCGAAGTGACTTCCCTATACCCAGAACCAAAAATTTTGGAGATATTCCAAAAATAGTTTTTAATCCTGCATACTTTTTCCAGAAAAACACGAATAAGTCAAGCACGCTTCATTTTAGGTATATATATATACTTAAGTAAAAGTATGCAGGATTAAAAACTATTTATGGAATATCTCCAAAATTTTTGGTTCTGGGTATAGGGAAGTCACTTCGAACTAGGGCTCATTTTTATTATAGAATTGAATTATGATGGGAAAAAATATGGTTTTCATTTGAAAAAAAATGAGATTTTCAATGTTCCAGATCAATCAATATTCACGATTTAATCAATGCATAGCACTAAAAATTTAAATTAGGGTATGATACATAATTTTGAATCAAAATCATGACTTGAAGAGGCCATATTTTGAGGAAAATTACTGTCCGGAGCTTCAATAGTATAGAGGAATACAGAAATGTAAAAAAATTCAGGGTGTAATTTATATTGAAAAAAAAAGATGCCCTCACTTCTGGAAAAAACGGAAGCTTGACGATAACAAAAATATCTTAGTTGGATGCTTCATGTTTCCTTCACCGTCATTACGAATGTCCAGAATTGTGCCACTTTTAGTTCTCCATATACCGGGTGACACAGACTCATGGTATACGCCCCTTTTCTAATTTTTTTCTTCTAGCTATATTTCTAGAAGTTGAAACATCGAATATGCTCACTAGAGGGCACTTTCTCACATTTTAGGATTTTTTCCACCTTTCCGTTTTCCTGGAAATGACTTCAACTTTCGATTTTCAAACGGAACACCCTGTACTTTATTTCATGATTGGTTGGAGATTATTATAACGAATTCAACGATACCGGGTTTGATTGGGTTATTTCAAACGATCACGAAGATATTTGCGTTCGAAGTTTCGATATTGCGCCGTCACAACCATTGATCATAATATGGATACTTCAAACGTAAATATCTTCGTGATCGTTTGAAATAACCCAATCGAACCCGGTATTGTATTTGTTATTATAGTCTCTAACCAATTGAAGAATAAAATATGGGGTATTCCATTCAAAAATCGAAAGTTGATGTCAATTCCAGAATAACTGGAAGATAAAGAAAGTCATAAAATGTGAGATAGTGCCCTGTATATAGTCAGCATATTCGATGTTCTAAATTTCAGTAATATAGCTAGAAAAACAAAGGAGAAAGAGGGGTAGACCATGAGTATGTGTCACCTGGTAATCCCGGTATAGATATCGCCTTAACTCGTGAAGATATTCCCTGTATAATAATCATTTCAACAATGTCCAGGCTAACGCTGATTCTAAAATTTTAATCATTGTTAGATGTAGCTATAGTTTTGCTCAATATTACATGTACGTACATATTTTGATGTGAAATGAGATTAATTTTCAATAAAATCGAGTAGCCTTGTGAAACGTTTGAGTTATCTATTTGACCAGAGATTCGACACCTATCAGTCCTCTCATTGAATACCTTCATCAATCTACATGTGATTTCACTAGAGAATCAAAACTAAATGTGTATGTGGCATTTTTGAGAAGCACAATATAATTTTCTCAGGGCCGCTATTATATCAGTATAATAATCGAAAAGAACCTCACATTTAGAAATGGTCGATGGTTTACCAAACCTCACATTTTGATTATAATGTAACCTCAATGTGAGTCTAATTTAAACGTGAAATCTAGAGTCACATTCAGCTAACTTTGAGTCCCATTCGGCATCTAAATGTGAATCATAAAATGACCAAAAGGGTCCGGAATAGCAGTCATTGTGATTTCAGTAGGACTCTCAATTCGAGTCACGGATGTGATGTGTGGCATGAATGTGATGCCCTCTAATATCTCTGGGATCAATCTGTGTTAACTGGGAAGAGATGCAGATTTGGTTAGATGGGAGAAAATTTGCTCAAATGAAAGGCCAATAAAATGACTTCCAAAATTCTTGATATGATTTTTTGTTTCCTTGTTATTTTCAATACCTATTAAACATATAACCATATATAACAAATAACGGTGAAGAAATAAATAGATGATAAATGCACAAATCAAAAACTTCTTTGAACGTCAAAAATTATTCGATACGAAACTGATCAATCTACATGATGTTCAGAAAAATTATCATTGAAGTGCGAATTCCAAAAATTACTAGACGATGGCCAAAATTAGCTCGAAACGCATCGAATCCATATGATACATTGCATATTTGAAAAAAAAAATGTTGATGATTGTTGCTCGAAGACGAAAGATTGGATCATCAGAAAATCGATAATGCCAAATTAATTAGGTTATTAAAAAATTACCATGAATATGTTTTTTTTTTCGCCACTAGCTATACATAGAACCTATGTACATTATATTTACTCCTTTTCAAGGCGTAAAGTGCGTTTTTACTAACAAATCAGTTCTGTTCTGATGCAAGATTCGCAAGAATGGCACTCGAATCTAGTAGATATTCATCCACTAACGACTTGTCATAATGCTGCCATGGTCATGGCTATACTCGATTTGAAAAAAGCGCTTCCATATAGTGACATGTAGGTCCATATTTCAGTTTTGCTACAGAACAATAATAATTTAAATATATTGCTGATGCTCTCCAGGGAGAATCTGAAAATGCCATAAAATACACAGAGCAGAGTGTCCTATTGAAAAATTTATAAATGTTGCCCATAACTACAAAACTTTGAAATTAGTGAATTAACAGTGTAATAACTTGAAGATGTTAATAATTTCGAAGGAAAAGGCAAAAAGCCAATCCCTCATTCAATTAGTATATCGTCATTAGGAGAAAAGATAATCTGCTTGTCTTCATCATTCTCGGGACGAAAGAACCAGTGGCAAAGCGCTATCGATTTTGAATATTAGAACTTGTTGGAGAACAAGAGGAAAGAGAACTGTGATGTGTCAGCTTATTTGTTTTTAAGCAAACAAAAGTATTTATTCTGATACTGTCAACTATTTCAATTGGGTTTTTACAATGTTTATGACAATTTCTTCTTGGCAAGGTGTAAAATTATGTATGGTTTTCTATTGTAGATGAATTTTTTGGTGTACTTTGACTGATGATGGCCATTTGAATTGCCGAAACATATCTCAAACCCTATATTGAAGCAGGATTGACTGCCTCTATTCACCATCAAACCTGTGGAGAGACTGGAGACGACTTCGAGTTTTTTTTCTAGATAATAGTATATTATGTAACAAGTGTTATAAACGTCCTTTTAGTAACGAGTATTTTAAGCACGAGCGGAGCAGCGCGGAGCGAGTGTTTAATAAACGAGTGTCTAGAAGAGTTTATAAACGCGTTACATACCATGCTTTTTCTACGAACTCCTAAAATTACATTAACATACCTGCTCTTCCTACTAACCTACAAAATAATTCGAAAGGAATGGGAATTGAGAACATATAATAGATGCAACTGATGCATGCAACCAGCGAGACACGTATAAGTGATATTGGTTGTAGATGTGTCCAGTCCATTGTTTACTAACCTTTGTTTCACGTTTATTGCCATGCTTAGCGCAGAATAAATAAATTGTTCTCAGAGATGGGTGCTTCATTTTTACACTTCTTGGAGATACGCAAAGTACCAAAACATTCTCTTCGAATTCACTTTCTTATTATACATTTCGCATATATTATCAATGGAAAATTCAGATACAAACAAAAATTGTTTGAATAAATATGATACAAAATTCGAGAATGACATATTTGACAGTTAATACTTGACAAGCCAGACATGTCTCAAATCACTGAAGCTGTGTTTAATGAACTGTGTTGCCATGGTAATGTGTTTAAGAAATCGTGATGCCATGGTAACATGTTTAATATTTCGAATAAATCACAGATCGTCAATCCGTGATTAATCGATCATTTAGCGTGGTACGTATCCGTACGCTAAATGCCCTTTTAGTTATGTGAGTAGAAAAATAAGTTTATTCTACCAGTTTTGAAGACGGCTGTGACCAGTTTCAACCTGAAGAAGCTACTGTGCTAGCGGAACATATCGTGAGATTAAGAATTTCGTGGAAATCTTATCGCTTGGAAAGTTTTTCACATTTACTATGAATTTCCATCAAGTAACGGCCGAGCGAATTCAGAAAATTTTAGGTTATTGCTTATATGCAGTTTTCGCAAATTCATCATCAGTGACCCGAAACAAGTGTAGAATACTCGAACAACGGCTTCTAACGTCGAGAAAAGGAAGGACCTTTATATAAATATGAGTCGGCAAATAGCCCCTATTATAGGGTTCACCATCCTTAAATCTGTAAATAAGCCGCGTTCTGAGAATGATTTATCATTAATATTTTTGAAAAGGTTTGAGATGAAATGAAGATTTTTTTCACGTTCACTTGACTATTTGTGATGATATTGAAAATGCAAATGAAAGTTGAAAATTTTATTGCGTGTATTAAACTAGGGCGGCCTGAGGTATTTTTGGCCTAATTGAATAATTGTAACAATTATTGTGATACGTGAAAGTAATTTAATTCTGAGATAAAATCAGACGATATAATGATCATAAATAAATAACCTATTCGAACTTCTGTCAATTTTAATTATGGTTGTAAGTAAGCTGTGAATAACGTTTCCAGGATTTGAGACATATTCCATAGGTCCGGCCGCTCCACTATATATATGCCATGCCATAAGGCAGCATAAGGCCTCTCGGCACTTATAGTGCATTAACACGATCTTTTTTATTATTATTTTTATTCCTCAAGTATCATTTGATATATTCATCTGCAAAGCCAGTTTGCAGACGATCTTAAATGGAGTGTTATGGAACATATCAATGAAACCCTAGAGGGATTGTTACTGAACGAAAGTTTAGTTAACAATGTGACTGAAAATTTTAATGATGTTGCTGAGTCCGATTATCATTTACCTCAGTGGATTTTGAATTTTTATTTTGGATTCATCTGTTTGGGGTGCGCAGTTGATTTGATATTCGTTTCAGCGCTCATAAGAAGCAAAAGAAGTGGTAAGTTAGTTTTTTGTTCCTATTTCAACTTTCTTTTACTTCATAATATAATATATACCGGGTGACACAGCAGGCGGTATCGGGCCACCCCTGTCACTTATGCATTCGTAAACGGATTTTTCTGAAATTTGGTACGGTTATACAGGGTGAGTCATAACTATTGGGACATAGGCTAAGGGCGGATTGTTTGTAAAAATATACAGGGCGTTTAAATCGAAAAAGTATATTGACTATAGGTATATAATAACTCATCAAGTTCACTTCAACACGACATGTCGCAGCGACAATAATGGCTGCTTAACAAGATGTAATCGATCCATACTTTACCCCCGTTTGGAAAACACATTTTAATTTGTTTGTAACGTATTTTACTTAAATGTCGTTAGTTTTAAACTGGACAAAAGATATTTTTATGGACGAATTTCCCCGTTAACCTGACGAGTACGCACTGATGATGATGACTTAACAGTCGAAAGCGCTCTCTGCTACGAATATTTGGAATAAATTTCTTGCAAGAAATACAAATCTTCCCTTCTTTGGTATATATTCACGTGCACACAGCCCAGCAACCCTCACTATAATAACTCGCTCCAGAATCAATTCACTGACAAGAAATTTAATTCACCAGCAACAATTATCTGACAGTCTGAATAATAGTTATTCATTATACAAGGGAAAAAAGTAGTAGATTTTAGCTCCAGGTTGTGTTGTCTCCCGACGCGTAGCGGAGGGAGACAACAAACCGTGAGCTAAAATCTAATATTTTTCCCGTGTATAATACACTATTTTTTTCTGTGACAGAAGAAAGGACGAATCGATATTGAGAAGGTATTACATTATTTTCATATCTGAAAATTATCGACGTGAAATTTTAAGTTTTTAACAGTAGGGACACCGCATTTTAGGCATCTTTATCATTCATTTGAAGTAATCAAATTTCTGATGTCACTTCTGTCAGTCTGATTTTGTGATTTTATTTCAAGAAATTGCGAATTCAGTGGTTATTTAGCAATATACGTAACCGCGAAGTCGAATGGAAGATAAAAGGACTTGCAGTTCTTTCTCGGAGACGGTATTATTGACTCATTTTTCGGAACTATAGCACAACAAAAGCCATCAACAGTGTATATAATATATTTGATATATATCCGGGAAAGAAGTACTCACTTTTTTCCCACGGGAAAAAAGTAATTTATGAAATGCGACATTTTATAACCTGCCAACAGGGATGAAATGCCAAACTTTTTTCCCGTCGCAGAAAAAACACAATTTTCATAAATGACATAATTCTTGAAATGCCCTTCCGAGACTTTTAACTGTTCAATTGCGTTTTTCTAGAAAAACAGATGAAAATATACCGTTTTCAAATAAGAGTACTGATATTACGTAGAAAGTAGGGTGTTTTATCAATTTTGTCCAATTCTTTGTGAGGACATAACTTACGAACCACACAGTATATTCATTTGGAATTTGGTACACAATTTCGCCTTCTTCTACCAAAGCGACTCACCTATCAGTCACGAGAAAAATCCAGGACCGCGGATCAACAAAAATTGATCATATATCTTGACCTCAAAAATATCACCCTGCATTTTCGAATTTCCAAAATCCGCTCACATATTTGAAAAGTGCATGAAAATCTGAATCGTATGATGTACTTTACATTTTTCCGCATGCTATTTCACTAGGTAATTTCTGATTTTGAATATGAGGTTTCATGCATTTGGATAGGTAAAAATGAAATGTTTTGAGTTTTTCCAATCGAATAACAAAAACTCATGAATCACCCAGTATATTCTTTTGGAATTTGGTACACAAGTCCTCCTTCTTCTACCCCAGCGACTCACCTATCAGAAACGATGAAAATCGAAAATAGAGGGTGTTCTTTTTGGGGTCCAGAAATATGATCAATTTTCGTTAATCCGGACCTGGAATTTTCTCGTGGATGATAGGTGAGGCGCTTGGGTAGAACAACAAGGAGAACTCGTGTACCAAAGTCCGAAAGAATATACTGGGTGGTTCGTGATTATTGTTGTTATTCGATTGGGAAAACTCAAAACATATTATTTTTACCTATCCAAATGCATAAAACCTCGAATTCAAAATCAGATATTCCTTAGTGAAATTGCATGCGGGAAAATGACAAGTATACCATTCGGTTCAGCTTTTTGTGCACTTTCCAAATATGTAAGCGGATTTTGAGAATTACAGAATACAGGGTATTCTTTTAGGTGTTCAGAAATATTATCAACTTTTGTTAATCCGGACCTGGATTTTTTTCGTGACTGATAGGTGAGTCGCTTTGGTAGATAAAGAAGGAATTGTGTACCAAATTGCAAACGAATATACTAAGTGGCTCGTAAGTTATGTCCTCACAAAGAATTGGGCAAAATTGACAAAACACCCTATATCTCGGATATAAAACTTGTGAGACCCTACAAATATGTTATATTCAGAACCACCTTGATGAGCTCTACCCACCGTTGAAGTTGTTCCGTTTCCCAATGGGACACCCTGTATAATTTTTTCTCCAAATTATTTTCAATTGCACGCAAAGTCCAAATAATCCATCATGTTTTGTTCACACAAAGTCAATGTCAATTTTGATTACCAATTTGATTCAAATCACTTGGAACGTTGCATAGCAACAAACTTTTTCTGCCTATGCAGAAAAAGTACACCTTTTCTGCCAGTTAAGTGTCATTGAAAAGTCACCTTGAATGTCATTTGGAGAAAAATTCATTATTTTTACAGCATGTTGAATTTCACCACCACCCCCCATTTTCATAACGGAACATTGTTGGACTACATTATATTTTTCCATGTAGAATCACACCCATATATAAGCATATTATTATATCATTAAGGAACACCGCTCTGTCAACTTTCCATTTTATCCAGTTGGCAAACTAAGAGCCGTTGACAGGGACGGACACTGTTACAAGATAACAATTAATAGGGCTTCGTTGGATTCTTCATTTTGAGTACGTACCGCAATGAATTACCTACATTTTTCGTTCCAGGTACTTTATCCTTGGTTTTGCAAATATCTGCAGTGGATGCCATCTCTCCATTTATAGCAGCGATCGAAATACTCACATTGAACAACCATACATGGATTTTTTCACATAACACTTGCCTCATTTACAATGGACTGGAAATACTCATAAATTCATTAACCCTTTGGTTAATCATCTGCCTCAATTTTCATGTTATCTCCTTGTGGAATATGCACAAGAGCAACACTGCAAAGAAGAATACAAATCCACTGACTTCTTGTGGGGATGAATCCAACGAGTGTTTAGTAACGAACAGAGAACATTCCAGTAACAGGATTCTCAATATTGATTACAGAAAGAGAAAAAATGATGTAGCTATCGTGATTCCCACCATTTTGATATGGTTCTTCTGCATTTCTCTCAGCATACCAAATTTCACTTTATCATCTATTTTGAAAATGAAACAACAGCACACCATTTGCGCAATTATTGATAACTTCTATGGTTACATTTTGCAAATATTATTACTAGTCTTCAAGGTTCTGTTACCTATACCATTGATATTATTTTCCCTTATTGTGTCTATAATCAAACTCACTAAAACATCTCTGAAAGACATTGATACTATGTTAACCAAAGATTTTGTAGAGATAAGGGATCTGTTGATTTTCTGCATAGCCCTGACAATCCTTTACCTAGCAACATCTTTTCAGCGAAATTTGTTTCATTTTTTGCATATCAATTCACATAGCTTCAGCACAAATTCTTCAGAAATATTCAAAGTTCCTCCGTTATATAATAATCAGTTGAGTGCCTGGAATAATATGAGTCTTACAATGTTACATTATAGTTGTAATATGCTCAGAGCTCTGTTGTGTTTGTGTATGTTGCCAAAGTTTAGAGGACTGATAAAAAATAGAATTTTCTTTTGTTCAACCAAAGATTGAGTGCATGTTCAATTGTTCATTATGTAAGCTGAGATAAAGGCAGGCTGGCTAAATGACACTTCTTTGAAAACACAGACCCTTGTGAGTAACAATTAACCAAAAATTCTAAGTCACATCCCAGCGAGCACAAACATCCCTGGGATGTTTTGGGATGTTTTGAAAATGTTGGCATGAAGATGTTATTCTGAGACGTAATATGCACTGACCAAAGAGATCTTTGAAGGATATTGAAGTATTGTTTTTGTTCTTCTGTGGCATTTCTTTGTTTGCCTACTGAGAGGTATCCCTGGGATGTTTTGGGATGTTTTAGAAATGTAGGCATGAGGATGTTTTTTTGAGGCGTAATATGCACTTCCCAAAGAGGTCTTAGAAGGATATTGAAAGTATTGTTTTTGTTCTTCTGTGCCCTTTCCATGTTTGCCCCACCACAATGTCTCATGCTTACGTCACAATACGATGAATTCTGATTTGTTTTCGATTTTGTTCTTCTTGTTCGCAATTGGCATTCGCGTTTGCAGCGTGTCACGCTTACATCACGCTGCTAACGAACAGAAAGGAATTTGGTGAAGTTTATTGTGTTAGAAGACTTATTTAGTTTGTAATAATGACCATCAGATGCAAGATGTGTTGTTCGGTGCCTCAGTGTAATCAATATATAAAAGTACGAATTCATCAATACACAATGCAAAATTATGCATTGTGGAGAACATTTAAAAAATTGGGAAACCTATTTCCAATTATATATGTCTGTGTGTAGTAAGCACTACTCAGAAACCGATTAAGTAGGTAATTTCATATCAAGAAAATATTTTTATGTTCAATCTATTTTTAATGCATTTTTTCATTCAAGGGAAATTGAATCCTAATGCAAAAGTTCATTTTGACAAAAGGCTTCAGAAAAGTACCTCGAAAATGTTTTTTTTACAGCGATTGAAACGCGTTGAAAATGTTCTGTTGTGTCCATGAAAAGGCTTTAAAAAGAACTAGGGAGAAGGTAGTTTTGTGACATATCAAGGATATCTCGATAATTGCCGCCTGCGGAGGTTCAATGTCTCGAAATCTCGTACTTTTAACATCTCTAAGATGTTTTTGTGCTCGCTGGGATGCGCCTAGTTTGGGTGATTAGGGATGCAAATACCTGCAGGACAACTATACTATGATAGGGATCACTGAAGGTGAATGGAATAGATTTGTAATGTTGGTAATTGAAGGGTTTGATATCCCCCAATTGTTTCCTAAGTCGATCTCTATGATTAATATCCGCCCTTTAAAGTGTATATATGAACATCTGAATTGGGTTTTTATTTTATGTTGATACTTCTCAACAGAAATTCCGATTAAAATGAAATATCATTATGCTCAACGAACTTTCTATTCAGGTTGCCACTATACCTAGCAATTTAATGTGCTTTTTGAGATGTATTTATCCAATTGGTATATAGCCGCGGCAACCTTTTGAGAAAGAACTTTATGTGGTTTCAAGATTAAGGATGTTCAACATAGGCATGTGAATGATACATACTAGTCAAGATTACATGAGATCAACATTTTATTCAAATCGGAATGACCGTTGAGAAGTCATCAACTAAAATCCTCAGTCCAGTCGGCAGGTCGTGGAAATGTGGTGTCATGACGAAAAATTCAGAATGAAATTTTAGTATGTTGTTTGTACATGTTTGATGATGTCAAATCCAAGTTTTCGACCTCGAGGAGATTGTGGAAAATTTTTGGAAGCAAAAAAACTCGATATTTTCGGACTTGTTTCAGTTTTCCACTTATATCTCGGAAACGGCCAATCTTACATAAAAGCCACGATATACTAAGTTGAAGAAGACAACATTTCCCATCGATCAAGTAAAAAAAAACGGAATTGGTCCGAAAGAAACATTTTCACGGCCGATCAAAAGAATGGTGATTTTTTCCAATTTTGGTAAAAACTGCCATTATGCTAGTTTCAAAGTGCGCCCACCCACGTCTCTAAAATGTGTAGAGCAGCAATCGGAGAGCTCAAAAAGCAATTCTTGAAATTGTAGGTACTGTTTTTCCAAAATAGTAATTTCTCGAAAATGGCTCACTGTTGATTTTTTTTGCTTTTTCCTTGGACTAATTGACCCCAATGACTCCTAATTGCCTCGTGATACTTTATTCCACATACACGGAGTGTCTCAAAATTGCTGGGACACAGAGCTACCACGTGTAATACAGTTTAAAATAAATTGATTGGACCCAATTTATTTATATAAAAAAATTGACCGTTTGTTCGTGAGACGAGTTCAAAGTTTTCATAAAAAAACACATTTTTGTACGCTGGTCAAAAATGAGTGGAACAAATTGGATGAAATTTGATTTTAGAGGATATCCTTCCTTTCAGTGATCAAAGAAACCCGAAAGGAATTGTAGAAGGGTTGAAACCACCCTCACCCCCAGAATTTTTTTTCAGAACATTCTCAGGGGTGGTGATAGGGTTCTCAAATTTTTCGAGCGAGATGACTGATCAATTATCTTCATTTTGTTACTTCAGTGAAAATTTCGTATTCCGCATAGTTAATATTTTCTTGAATAATGCTAACAGATATTCCTAGTAAAAGTTATTATAATACAAAATTTAGTTGACAGTGGAAACAGAGGCAGAACGTTTTTTTTTAATGAATTTTCAATATGACGCCCACCGTCATCAATACAAATGTCAATTCCTTTGTTTCCACTACCAACTAGAATATAAACACTCATAAATTATTTCCACCTACATGACTCAATTCCGAATTTTGTGAGGTACATAAGTAATATATTGCGATAGTTCTCACATGGGATCACTTTGAAAGAAAACAAAATTTTGAATGTGTGAAAAGAGTGGTTTAGCTAGCTTTCCTATATTGAGTAAATGTACCTATATCATAGATAAAATGCTCAAGTGTATTCAATAAGATTGGAGGTATACAATGATCATCTTATTATATATCTTTCATGAATTGAATCATAATAAAAAATAGAAAAGTTTGAACAGAATACCCAACATTTATAACTGATATCCCCGAGGAATGATTTCGTCATATTTAATTTCGGGGATTGGCATCAACAAAAAATCATTTGATGATAAATAGTGAAATAAATCGTAATTAAGGAATGATGTGTGTTTTATTTCCACTAATACACCCCCTAGCTAGAGCATGAATTATTTTTTCGGGAAGTTTCCTTGTGGTGCGAATAGTATGAAAATTCACCCAAATAAATCGCAAAATGCCAAAAATATTTGAAAATAGAATTCAATTGGTGGCGAGATTGGGAGATTGCCACTTATTGATTTTACAGTTAGGTGTTTATTGGTAGGGATCATTGGGTAGAGTGATTTCAGGAAAAATAATAGTTAGGTTATTGTCATAGCAACATACGGGAAGTGCAAGCTTCTCATTCGCTCACACCAACATTAATTCAAATTTCGTCTTGAGAAATATTTTAATCAATTGAAATAATATGAAACTCACGAATTGGTATAGTTTGTTTGTAAAGGTACCACAACATATTTTATATCTCTGTTCTGCGTTTTTCTCAACACTTCTGCAGCATGCTGAAGTTGCAGGGCACAATCAGGGTGGGCACTTCCTGGCAATTGCATACATTCTTGGTCAAAAATATACGCTAAACCATTCAATAGATCTAAAAAACCAAGTGAAATGGCTGCTTTCCTCAGCCTATTCAATTCCTGAAAAAAAATTGTTTCAATATCCCAAAATGATTAGATATATTTAAAGATTCCAGTTCACATAATAGAGAATTTAGGATAACGTAAGTGTATCAAAAATATACAGGGTGATTCACGAGCCACTGTACATACTTATGGTATGGTGTAGATAGGGCATAGCACCGCCATGAAGAAATGAATATTTAAATTGGTTAATTCGGCGTAATTACCAAGATACAAGGTCGTATTACTTTTTTGTTGTGTATTGCACTTATATCATTACTGAGGTTGCTGCAAAATTTGCGGATTAAATAAAAATCCGAAAATTCGTTTCATATTATTTACGAAACATGAGTATTTTCTTGAGTTAGGGCTCAAGTCGTTTAAGAATTCGCCATTGAAAGTCGAAAATATAATGCACAGTTTCCATTTCCACCAATAATTATTGTGAAAATGGTAATATAAAGTCAAATGAATCTGTCATGATGCCTGTAAGTTTGGTTTGAAACATCGGAAATTTAGTGAGATTGTCCCACGCCCCACCGTTTGAATTTCTATACATCTATATGTTTACCTTATAGAACTGTTGAGTTTTCTCTGGCAACTTCCTTGCATGCCTCAGTATCTTCTGTATATCGGACTGCAAGCCGGCCTGTCTGATCCACACCACTCCGTTCTGAGAGTAGCTCCTCTTCTCGGACGGTTTCACCGGAAAACTGCCAACTTGATCGGGCGAGAATGATTCGCTGGACCCTAAATTGTTGAGATCGCCCAGCCAAGGAACGGCATCAGAGCCGGGGGTCAATATCGTCAGCATCAGGTTGGATTTCTTCTTGGAATCGGCCCAGGAGTAGATGAAACCGAACCAGTTTTCTCCAAGGCTCACCAATGCAGCCATATTTTCCACTCTAAAGATATAAAGCGCATACACAGAGGAAAAATATCGAACATTGGTATAGTCAGTTTTTGTTGTGTATTTATTTCACAAGATTTGTTAAATAATTTATATTGTCAAGAGAACTACTAGTCAAATTACATGTTTGTAGTGAATGTGATTTGCTTGTATTTACCGGGTGGTAGGTTATAAAGTACCACCCCTATAACTTTTTTAGATTTGACAGTAGAAAAAAACAGAAAAAAAGTATGATACGTGATCACTATCTTGAAAACATACAAGGACCAGTCCAGATTTTAGTAGATTAGTAGATTTGATATCAGAATTTCAATTGAAAGTAGCCTAAGAACATGTAAATAAAAACGGAACTATTGACAAGTATACTGAATTCGAAATTCAAAATCAAAGTCAGAATTCAATGAGTAATTTAGATAATTTTTGATTTACTCAAGAATACTAATTGGTGTCCTCATTTCTAAAATAAGGAGTACCTATGTAACTCCTTAATCGGCGCCTTATGCTGTAGATCCGACTTTACACAGAAAATAAGTGTGTCGAATTTGAAAAGAATCGTTTTGTATTTTCTTAGATATAGAATGATAAGATATTTCTTTATCAAACTTCAATAACGCCCTGCATTCAAGCTATGGTGTACTTTTTGGATGTATGTTCATTAAAAAATTGCCCTATCGCCTTTTGAAATTAATGTATCATAAGCTGGACCACCTTGTATGAACCGAAAATATGTTGTTTTGTCCATTTTGCCAGAAAGAAATAAAAAATATCGAACTTGACCTTTATTCATACCAATACAGTCTATACTTATGGAAAGAAGTTGATTGTACAATGAAGTGAAATCTCTAAGGGTGAGCCAAATTATACTCATCTGGTGTTGCGATGGAGGGGCGCTATTCGCCTAACCTAACCTAGTTACGGAACTAGATAGTTGACTTACTTGATTTTGAATTTATTCAAGGATTTATTATTGTTGTGCAAAATTACCCTTAGTGCCCAATTGGGCATTGTAATCAAATGTTGAAAGTTTGTTTCTAATGAATTTAAGAACATTTTAAAAATTCAAATAATGGTGACAGTGATAGGCTCGCAATGTCGTCATACGCAGAATAGACGAATATTGGACTCGTGAGTAGGGGTGGGCGATATTATCTCTCTCATACTTATAATTGGGACGGATGAAAGGGAACATTGGGCATTTGGGCGTGTTAGGGGTAGAAATAAGATGATATGAGATATTAGGTGGCGCTTCTTTTTAAGGAATATTGTAATGCCCCCAACTTTCTTCGTTCGTTGGCCTACTACAGGGGGTCGTCACAAAGTAATTTTTTTCGATCAATGGGTTCATGATTATTGAGGCAGGAGGCAGACTGAGATTGTAGACATTTGAGGCAACATATATAGATAGTTACTGAGACATATATTCAGGTAGTATGGTCAGGCAGAGGTTACAGGCAACAAAATCAAAGTTTGCTTACATTTTAGATTGCACATTGTTCACTTGTTTTTACGTCTCAGTCAAAACAGTTGAATTTTACAATGAATTTACCTGAGTGGTTACTTACACAGGTATCATTAACGAAGTTCACTGGTACTGTTCGAACGTAGCATGTATGATAGATACAAAGTCTGCTGGATACGTTTTGTATTGAGTCACGTTTAAGACTGGACATTTTACATTCTGGTCAATAGTTTCAATGATTGTACTTCAATAATTATTTCCGAGGCTCACTAACAAAACTTTCAACTAACACAACGGAGATCGAGACATATCGTATTGAAGACTGGATCAAGACTGCTTCAAGAATAACTTCAGACTGTCTCATTTTATTCGAATTGTTCCTGCTTTTATACAGAATTTAGCAATAAATTTCGGGAGAATCAATTAAATATGAGACAAGCTCCATGTTGTGTTTATATTAGGCAAGATTTTTCGTAGATTTTTGAGCGATAAATTACAGATGTTAGGATTAATTTGCGAAACTAGTTCTGAATTTTAATGACGATAAATAATTTTAAGATCCAACTCATACTTTTAATGTTAACAAAACTGTCACTTGCTATAGTTTTCCATTAACCCTTTTTTAGGCAATAATTCAATGTGGTTAATGATTCTCATTCATTTTTCTTGACTTCAATTTGCACAAGTGAGATGATTTCGATGTAACTCTCTTATGTTATGATAATAATTCACTTTATGAATATTAACAAAGTTGACAATGACATGCTCTTGCCTCTACTTATTTGGGCTGAATAATAATTTATTGATCTTTCGAGCCAATCAGATTAAAGTCACTCCCTCTTTGTTGAACTTATAAATTTTCTGCAAATTCTCATCAACGTCATTTTTGTCTCTCAATTCGGTACTGTGATATTAACCTGCTTCTGCTGATGAAAATCGGTACAGGTAGGTATGTTTCAAGTGATCTTGATTCAGAATCCATTATTATTAATCCCTTGGATAACAGTCCAAGAATAAAATCACTCTCTTGTTGGATGGACATTTCAAATACCTATCCAACAAAAAAATTTCGAAATCGATCAGATAATAACGATTTTGGAGGGGTGGTGAGTCGTCAAGGTGGACACACTGTATATGTCAAAACATGACGTTTATCAAGTTGATTGTTAATTATTCCAAAGGACCCCGCACCGCATCAATGGGAAATTCGCTTTCGGTGAATTTACTCGAATTTTTGAAATTTTGTTGAATTCGTGGTGCTGATCAAATGTCTCCATTGCACCAACGCTCTAAAATCAACAGTTAAGATTATATAGGGTGATAAAGTTGGCATTTCCAAAATTTTAGATAGAAATTGTGAAGACACCTTTTATAATTTCAAAACTAAATCAACTGTGCATTGATTTATCGAAGACTGGAACCTTTGGCACGATAATACACTACACTGTTTTACCACTAACCAAACCGATTTTTTAACGCCTCGACACGTGTTTCGCTAACTATGTTAGCATCTTCAGGAGAAGATTAAAACTCAGTTTTAATCTTCTCCTGAAGATGCTAACATAGTTAGCGAAACACGTGTCGAGGCGTTAAAAAATCGGTTTGGTTAGTGGTAAAACAGTGTAGTGTGCATTGATTGTTCGAATTACCGATACGAATCTACTATGAAGTATAATAATTCCTGCATGTACTAACAATATACAGGGTGGGTCGGAAAATAACTAATATTTCAGTGGTTTCCGGAAGTGGGCGGTGGAATTTCATTTAAATTCTGTAGTAAGCCAATTTCCCATTGATGCGGTGCGGAGTCCTTATTTCAATCTTCTGTCTGAAACCAAAAGAGAAAAAGGGGGTGTACCATGATCCTGTTACACCCGGTATTTCAACCATGCGTCCACCTATTACCTGAGCGCCCCGTGGAGCAGCACACAAAAAGACGCCGTCCGCCCCTCATCCCCAACGTCCTCGTCGGCGGCGTCCGCGTCATTTTTGGCCGCGCCCTCCTGCCTTCCGGGGCCAAGGGTGGGAGCTGGGAGCACGAGGTGGCGGCCGACCGCCATTGGGGAGCCGACGTCGCCCACCGACACGAAGCCGCACACGTCGATCAGGTCGGATATGCTGCGGGTGTGGCACTCGAAGTCCGTTACTCGCGTGTACGGCTGCAAAGGAAAGGGCGAAAAAAATCAGGGGGATTCCTCTTCATATTCTATGGAACATGATCTTATAAACATATTATGTCGACATGATTCGTTTTCAAGACACAAGGTGTTCAAGTTAGAAGTATATTAACACGAAGCTGGACCCGTCGATCAGGTCGGATATGTTGCGGATGTGGCACTCGAAGTCCAATACTCGCGTGTACGGCTGCTAAGGGCAGTGCGAAAATAATCAGGGAGGGATTCCCCATATTCTATGAAACATGATCATATGAACATATCTCAAATGATTCGTATTTGAGACACAAGGTTGGAAGTATATCAACACGAAGCCGGACCCGTCGATCAGGTCGGATATGTTGCGGGTGTGGCACTCGAAGTCTGTTACTCGCGTGTACGGCTGCAAAGGAAAGTGCGAAAATAATCAGGGAAGGATTCCTTCTCATATATTCTATGAAACATGATCGTATGAACATATCATGTCAACATGATTCGTTTTTGAGACACAAGGTGTTCAAGTTGGAAGTATATCAACACGAAGCTGGACCCGTCGATCAGGTCGAATATGTTGCGGGTGTGGCACTCTCGAAGTCCGTTACTCGCGTGTACGGCTGCAAAGGAAAGTGCGGAAATAATCAGGGAAGGATTCATATTCTATGAAACATTATCATATGAACATATCTCAACATGATTCGTCTTTGAGACACAAGGTGTTCAAGTTGGAAGTATATTAACACGAAGCTGGACCCGTCGATCAGGTCGGATATGTTGCGGGTGTGGCACTTGAAGTCCGTTACTCGCGTGTACGGCTGCAAAGGGAAGTGCGAAAATAATCAGGGAAGGATTCCCGATATTCCATGAAACATGATCATATGAACATATCTCAAATGCTTCGTATTTGAGATACAAGGTGTTCAAGTTGGAAGTATATTAACACGAAGCTGGACCCGTCGATCAGGTCGGATAAGTTGCGTGTGTGGCACTGATATTCCATGAAACATGATCATATGAACATATCTCAAATGATTCGTATTTGAGACACAAGTTGTTCAAGTTGGAAGTATATTAACACGAAGCTGGACCCGTCGATCAGGTCGGATAAGTTGCGTGTGTGGCACTCGAAGTCCGTTACCCTCATGTAAGGAGTGAGGATGTGAAGGAAAGACACGGTGCGAATGAATAACTGCGAGAAAAATCAGGAAATGATTTCTCGTCATACTCTATGACAAAATTGATCCTTGTGGAACGCTGGAATTGATTTGCTTTGGTATGAAAGAAAACTTGATAAAAGCTTGCATAGCGTAGTTTGTTGAGAAAGAAGTCTTTGGTGCCAAACACGGTCGAATGCTTTCCATATATCTAACGCCACATGCTTCGTTTTCGAGATACAAAATTCACACGTCGGTCAGCTCAGATACGGTACGGTTGTGACAGTCGAAGTCCGTTCACCCTCTTCACAGAATAGGATAATATACTGTGCCCTCGTGTACAAGAAAATAGCAATGTCATTTACGAGATCGAACTGGAGAATATGAATCATGCGCATTCAAGACCTGTCATATATTTTACAGGCACATAAACATGTGTGCTAACCCATTCCCCCTTTTTTTTTGAGAAACAGGATATTCAAGTTGAAAGTACAACATGAAGCCGCCCATGCCGAGACTTGGATGACATCAGCGAAGTGTATGACCGCCGCATAATGAAATATGAGCTTAACTACATTTCTCGCATTGAACTCGAAAAATTTCAATTCCAATTCCACGGTTAATATAACTTGTGATTTTTGATAAGTAGGTAAATTCAGAATGATAAACTTTAAAAAAAAAGGTATCCTAGAAACTTACCACTGGAGCAGGTGACAAAATAACTTTCGACTCCAGATTACCACATTTCAAAACTCCTTTGAAAGTGGTATACATGTCCTCCGCTAACTTTTGGAACAAATTGGTGACACTGGTTTCAGTTTGAAGATTCTCTGGTACTAAAATCGATCCATCATATCCCGTGAGATCTATAAGCCGCTGATAAAGAGGTTTGGCTGAAATTGACGAATAAAAATCATAAAAATCAAATACTGTGATAAATATATCATACCTACTCACATTTTGTGAAATTGAGATCAGATGAAGGAGTTATACAAATGATATGCAATTTTCCGGGAAAAGTAAATGGTACTGGGAAAGTTGATTTGCTTGAGCGTTGGTTCAACGATGCCAGTGAATCTTTTAGTGATTTTGGCCCAACTCCTGTACTGCCATCTGTGACCATAATTATCTGAAATGTTTCTCAAATGAAGTCATCTCCACAAATTTTAATGGTGTTACACAATCAGAAGGGGCATGTTTCGGCTTCAGCATATTTGAAATATTTGGAGTTTGAAAATGTGATACTACTAGATGTAAAATTTGGGGAGATGACTTCTAGCATTCCTTTCTTCCTTTGAAAAATTTCACTCCACTTTGAGCAATATGGACTTCTACCAAAGATTGATGTTTGTATATCAAAAGTAGTGCTTCTGAATGTGCTCAATCAAAAACTAAACCTACTAAATCTCTTGAATAATTCCCATTTCCGAGCCTTTATTGGTCACAATAAATCACGTGATACGCATTTGCTTGCAGGTAAAATTATTAACAAATTGCTGACTCTATATGCTCATCAAATAACACCAATCTCAACATAATAATTATCACGTGATGAGAATCATTCGGAAGATCTCATCTTATATAAATATTTCGAAGTAAAAGTATAATGATTATTGATATCAAAACTTACCTGACATGCTGAGTTGTTACCCCATTCTCCCAAAACCATCTGATTGACACCATGAAGTGCGGTTTCAATACAAGTTTTGTCATAATCATCTATGTTTTTCAGTTCAGCCTTTATGGCGGCATAGTCCCTGGTAAATGGACATCTTTCTTCATATAAGGAAGAAAATGCCATCTGAAACAACCTAAATTTAATATTTAACAAAATAATTTTAATCTTGTAGTGCGAGCCATTTTAGAACACGTTCATTCACAAAAGAAATGAGTTGAAATTTTGAGATCAACTATAGCGTATTTGGATCACACATTAATATGCCTCAAGACAGACTATACACTCCAAATGTGACTCCCCCAACTTGTCGAAATAGTGGGAAGCTGGAAAACGCGCCCGAAAACAAAGAGGTTTGCTGCTGATGGCCTTAGGCATAAAATAACAGCTCACGAAATCAACTTAGATAGAGAGTGGTCAAGCAACCGTAATGGATAATACCTAGGTGGCTCGTCGTTTGACCAGAACCAGAGGGTCCCCACTCCTGTTAGTCCAATAAATAAAGGGAAAAAGTTAACATTAATTACGCACTATTTTCATCTTCCGGTTGGAAGTAGCTTTTGGACAAATTATTCAATAACTTTGTTAAAAATGCATATTTTCTCATGATTCAAAGTTCATGTGAAAGAGGAATTCTGCTGCTATCATACCCTGTGAATTGAGTCACGCTTGACTCTTTTGGCCACATCGGTCAAACTTTCTGCTCCCGATCAATTTTGACCTCGCCAGGAATATGTTCCTATTTTTTTTGTATTGCACTAATTTACTCAAAATTTTCTTGATTATGGGTCCTCATAAGGTCCTTTGTCATCCCTGAAATTCGTATACCCTATTTTTTTTAAATTTTCATTCAATCTTTGTTTATTGAATCCCAATTTTTTGCTGTTTTTGGAGCGCGGGGAAATTTTGTGAACAACCATCAATTAAAAATGTATACATGATCCGATTGGTTTCTATGATACATCATTTGAAAGCTAAGAAGGTCTACTTTTCGATTGTGCAATTACTTTTTTAGACGAAGTCGTCCATTTTTCAATAAAATCAGAAAAAGCGGGGTCAAGGAAAAAACGCACTTTTTTTTTCGGTGGTTTTTTTCTCCGTGCTCTTTATTTCTAACATTTTATTAACAACTTAACTAGTGTAACGGGGGAATTCTCACATTTCCATCGATGTATATAAGTCATACCTTTGATATCCCGAAAAAAAAACAGTATATCTAAAGGTACACGCTATAATTTATTACTTTCTTTCCTCCGTCGTTCGCCGCGTGTGTGCTCTACGTGGCGCTCGGGTTGTCTGCTACAAACCATGCGGCCACGCAGGGTATGATAGCAGCAGAATTCCTCTTTCACATGAACTTTGAATCATGAGAAAATATGCATTTTTAACAAAGTTATTGAATAATTTGTCCCCCCGCCGATGTGTAAATACACGGACTGTGCTCTCCGGCATACAACAGAAGCTCATTATTCGAGGTGCACTTCGTGCCGTTTTTCTCGAAACCGGGCAAATTTTCGAGAAAAATGATAAGGACCATTTTTGTAGAAAATTAACTGAACTTCAATTTTTATCTGAACCGAAAATCTCTAACTGCCATATTTTAGGAGATATTGGCTGAAAACCTATTTTCCTGGTCTTTTGGGGCCATTTTCTCCGCCATCGCACGCGTTTTCCAGTCAAACTTTGTCTCATGTTTAATGAGGTACCAAAAGCTACTTCCAACCGGAAGATGAAAATATTGCGTAATTAACGTTAACTTTGCCTTTTTTCGTCCTTCATTTATTGGACTATGTGGAATCTGACCGTGGACGGGCTATACTTCGAGGACATGATTGAAACAAAGCCCTCGATCGGACATATGGCGATGACATAGTAGCCTTGGACGCCCTGAACTTGGTTAAAAGATGGAAGGACTCACAGGGGTTGAATATTAACCACAAAAAGACCACCATGGTCGCTTTATTCACTATTTCACAATGGCCTAATTAAGAAACTACAAAGAAGAGCCACAACGAGATGTTTCCCCATTAGTTTTGTTTCTGGATCAATTTGGTAGGTTAATTTTGTGCAATAACAAAATACTCAAATACTGTCTGTAGGTTAATCGAGGAGGTGGTACATTCATTATTCCAGATCTTTTGGGATTTTCTCTCCTCGTTTCTATAAAATGAAAATATGAATATATAGGATATATCAGATTTGCCCCAAAATGTCACTGCGTTTAAAGAATTTTCCTATCAGAGAGCCTAAAAGAAAAATTCACTAGCTTGTCAGTGGCAATTTGTATTGAAAAAGGTTTGGAGGAGAGAAATAAAAAGGTTTATAAAAAAATATCAAATTTTCACTTAGCTTTGGACGTTTCGAGAACGAATCTGCTCCCGTTTTCAACATAAAAAATGGTAATTTGAATAGCAAATTCGTATCTGTCTTGAAACTTTTCAGTTCTCAGTGACAATTGGCGACGTTGGCAATCAAATGGGTTACAGGATGTTTTCATTATTTAATCTTGAATTTACCATTTTGGAAAAGAAGATAACAACCAGAAAAGAAAAATCAAGGAATCTGCTTGCATTCTTCTGAACGGAGACAATAGCATTGCTTCTTGTTCAGTTGATATAGATAGAACATGGTATTCACTACTGAAATCTCTTGCGGAAAATGTCTTTTCCGCCCTTGACGACTTGCCCGAACTCCGCTCCGCGTCGTTCGTGCAACTGCCATCGCGTGCGGAAAAGTACTACTTTCCGCACTTGTTAGGTAAATAACTATCACCTATAAACGTCAAAAAAGTCCAGTGTAATTTCATGCTCCTTTCCCAAAGGAGGAAAACATTTCCAGAAATTTGATTAGTTGCTATGGTAACGATACAAAATAGAGGCTTTAATTGTTATTGTTCGAAAATGTTAGATGTGAAATTGTTCGACAATGTTGACGTGAAATTTCCTGCCAAGAAAAACAAATAACGATTTCATCACGTTTTTAACCAGATAAATCAGTATCAGTTGTCACTCCTAATAGTCGATTAAATAAATTCTCTGCATAGGGAGCATTTTCTGATCCATATTTTGCTGAGCAGAATCGCCCCTCTCAGCTTTTTTCACTACCTGAAAAACTCACCAAAGCACGGAAAACTGTTCTCGTCACACATGAAGCTTATTTTCCTTGATGCTGGAAACTAATACAGGGTGAATCTGAAAGTGAGGGTTTTTTAACAGGCCAATATCGCACCAAAACGAAAACTGATAGGTTGAAAAAGAAAATAAGCAGTTTTTGATATGTATATAACTTGTTGAAAAACCATCACTTTCAGATTCAACCTGTATAGCTCTGTTTTCAAATGATTAGTAGTCAATATTGCACAGATCAATTCAGCCCCCTGTAACTATTTGAGAGGAACAATCTATTTTACCACGTGAGAAGTGAGTAGGTACTCAGCTAAGGAACATTATGGCAAAGCAGATGTTACTTTACTTTCTTTCACAAAATGAAAACTTGATAAATGAATCATACAGGATTTTTATTGAATAACAAAGGCAAAAGTTCACATTGCTGGAGTGCAATGAGTCATCCTCAAATTTTTACAAATTGTAAATAAATATAATTTTTAAATATCCTAATACATTTCAAATATTATTTAGTAGATACAGCAGCTTGCGCCGCCTTTTTCGCCTTAACTGTTTCAACCAACTCCTTATATCTCTTCATGCAGTCTTTTTTCGTTCTGTTTGGAACACACTCCGCTATCCTGTCCCATCTCTCAGGCGTCGAAGCAGGATATGTTTTAAGGGCTTGCTCCAACAACTGCTGTTCTGATGTAGTCCAGGGAATTTCTGTTTTATTTTTTGTGTCCCCATTAGAAGTAACCTTTTTAACCCCAACCGCTGGTTCCGGGTCTGCATCACCATTCAGAGTAACACCATCAATATTCTTGGATATACCATCCTCGTCGATGTTGAGAACGTTTTTTTTGTCCTTCTTGAAATTATCAAAAGCTTGTTTGTTGGCTACTTCTTTGAGATTATTTTTGGAAAAGTCGACATTCTGCAAATCTTTCGCTTTTGCAAGTACCATTTTAGCGTTAAACTGGCAGTTTTTTTCAGAAAACACGCCATGTTGATTTATGAAGTTGGCAACAACATCCCATCTTTGATTGGTGCCGGCAGGGAATAGATTAACGGCCTTCACAAGGAGCTGTATATTTTCTTCATTCCACTCTGGAGCAGCAAGTACAACTGTAGAAGTCTTGTTGTCATTACTGCTTTTTCGTTTCGTTGCCTCAATTGCTGCTTGACGTTCTTTTTCTTCACGAGACTCATAATCCTTGAGAGCCTTGAGGAAAGCAGACTTACCAAGATTCTTTATATTCTCATTGAGTTCCTCCAACTCATTCACAGATAACTTCTCACAGATTGATTCGATTGCTGTCATATTTGTGAGATTTTGTTCAGCATTATCAGCAAAATATCCATTGGCCTTACAAAAATCTCTAAGAATTTTCCGCTCTTTCTTGAGTGCTTTTTTCAGTGCATCGCGTTCTTGTCTTTTCACCTCGATTCTTGCTCTTTCTGCGATTTCAGCCTGTTCCCTGGCGAGTTGTGCCTCTTTCAATATCCTTTCTTCTTCTTCTTTTTTAGCTTGTGCAGCACTCTGCTTGGCTCTCTTGGCAGCTAATTTCTTTTCTTTGTCATCCTGTCTGAATTTTGCTATCCTTGGGTCATTATTATATGCTAAATCCACTAGTTGACGAATCCTTGTCATTTCTTCTTTTTTTTTTCGTAGCCTTTCAGCTTTGTTCAATTTATCCACATATCTGAAATAAATAAAATACAGTATGGTTCAACTGGTTCAACCCCACCCTTGTATTTCCGTATTCTCTACTAGGTGATTTTTACCAGGTTATACTACTCATTAATTAATCTTTAGTAGGATACATAATATAAGTTAAAATTAATGTGTTTTCAATAACAGTAAAGTTTATAAATGCCCGGTCAGCACATCCATTTGTTGTGTGAACCATGAGATTTGTCAAACTACTCTCTACTAAAACTCGTATGGTCATAGAACGATATGAGAACCTATAACTTCCAGATATTAAAGTCAATTCAACATCTACCTTTTTTTCCTAT